GGTGAAGCAGGTCTTCCTCCGAGAAAAAAAGCCCAACCCTTCTGGTTGGTTTGTTTTTAAGAAAAAAAGAAAAGGGATTTAATGTAATTGTGTGTTTGTGAGCGAGAGAGAGAGAGAGAGATGCCTTTCCTGCATAAACAGAGCTTGCAGCTGATCTTATTTATTATGCTTATATATTAGTTTTCCTCCAAGGATAGTACCTGCTTTTTATCTTCACAATAGTCCTTTGTAGTAGGTTAGGCTGAGAGATGGCCCAAGGTCACCCAGTGAGCTTCATGCCGGAGTGGGGATTTTGAACCTGGGACTCCACACTAGTCACTATACCACACTGACCTGTGATTTTTATTATTATTATTATTATTACATTTACATCCCATCTTTCCTCCAAGGAATTTCAAGGTGGTGTACCCAATTCCCCCCTCCTCATTTCATCCTCAAAACAGCCCTGTGAGGTAGGTTAGGCTGAAAGAGATAGCCCAGGGTCAATGAGCAAGCTTTGTGGCTGAATGGGGATTTGAACCCCAGTCTCCCAAGTCCTAGTCCAGCACTCTAGCCACTACACCACACCACACTGGTTCTCTTTTTAAAAAATAACCTGTGTCTCTTATTTGGAATAGTTCACACCACAGGCACCAGGTGTGAATGGAAGGTCCAGCATAGCTGGATAAGGACAAGGTGAGAGAGGAATTTCTGCTGAAGATCACAAAGAAATGTAGTTTGGGGTTTGTTTGGTTTTTTTGCAAGTTGTAAGGGTTGACTCAATCTTGCAGAGGTGTCTATAGCCCACTAAGACTCATTAAAATCAGAGAGAAGGGGGAGCATGTAGATTGCAAATTTTAAAGCAATTTGCTTCCATCCATGCAAATGAGTGTGGAGTGAAGTTACTTATTTATTTGAAGCCTTTTTTGCCTTGCTCTTCGGCCCCCGTTCCTGCAAGAAAAGGGCTTCCAGAGGAGCGTGAAAGTATCAACAACAAGATGGTCTCAGTCCTGTGACTTTTCAAAGTGATGAATTTGCTCAACCACAGAAGAGATTTCTGAGTTCTCCTTTTATCCCTTTCCTCCCTTTGTGGCAAGAAATAAAGCGTTTATAGTGAATTACTTTCTGAAGGCTCAGGTTTACACACACACACAAGCACACCCCACTCCATAAGGGAGCTTTCTTGAGCAAGCGGGCTGGAGGTGGGGGGAAGCAAATCAGGATCTAAGCTCCACCAGCCGTCTGAGTATATAGCGGCCTGAATAGCGGACAGGACTAACTGAGGCAGCGAAAAACATGTCTCGTTTGGCAAGCGCCAGGGCTTAATTTATGGCATCTCACTTTGTGTTCTCCCTCTGCAGGGACTGCAGCTTTCAGCCTTCATTCCCAATCAGCAGCCAAGAGCGTTTCTGCTTGCTCATTACTGGAGTTTGGGGTGGGGTGCTTCCTGGTTTGGTTCTCCCTCCCCCATTTAAATATCACCAGAGCGTCTTCAGCTGAAGGGGAAAGTGGCTCACATACCCCTCGCAAAGTCACTCTGGGTAGAATTGGCCAGTTTTGCTGGGGGCTGGTGCCAAGGAGAGCTGAATTCCGTTCAATTCAATTATTTTTGCATAAGCATCTCTTATCTCATATAATTTATTCTGGCTTGCCAGTTTGGGGGGGGGGGGAGCAGGGAGCAGTCCACACAAGGCAGAGAAGCACCATTGCCTCCAACCGTTTGACCATCACAATCTATTCCTTCTGGTGTTTCTTTACAGCTTTGTTTAACTTGGATGCTTGCTTAGTTTAAAAAAGAACAGCGTGAAACCCAGGCTGAGACTCTCGGGGAGCTGGATGCGGCTGTGAGATTATGTGCTCCCATAGGATTATGATGTGCGATCAAGAGATGGCTGGCATCTTTCTCCTCCGCAGAGGAGTACAGTGGGAAAGCCTCTAGACCTGCTAAAAAAGAGTGATCCCTCTTATCCCTGGATCAGTTGCTCTCCAACAAACATCTGCTTAACTCCCATCAAGTGCCTTTGGCACCCAAGAGCAGGTTTCAGGCTCAGTGGCCTCCTAGCTCCTCCACTCCTCTTCAGTTGCTTCTCAGAGGCATGGATTTGGGAGCGCCACTCTGGTGCACTCCCAGGGAGCAACGTAGCGAAAAAAATGTTGGCACATCTTAGGTTTTTTCCCAGCACTAAACAGCACCCTGTTAGAGGTGGACATTCCTAAGCAGTGGAAAAAAGTTATTATTTATTCAATTGATATACCGCCTTTTGTCAAAAGATCCCAGGGTGGTGAGCAACATTTAAGAACACATTTTATGGAGCACAATAATGAAAACATAATAAATAGCATAATAATAGACAGCATGATAATAAAATAACTGTAATAGCAGTCTCTCCCCCCCCCCCCCCGCTTTAACAGGCCATGGAATATTTAATGGCCAAAGGCCTGGGTAAAGACGAATGTTTTTGCCTGGCACCTGAAGACATTTAATGATGGTGCCAAGTGAGCCTCTCTGGGGAGAACATTCCACAGATGGGGAGCCACCACAGAAAAGGCCAGTGCTCTTGTTGCAGCCTTCCAAACCTTTCTGGGAGGGAGGACATAGAGAAGGACATTGGGCACCAAGCGCAGGGTTTGGGTTGGTTTGTATGGGAGAGGCAGACCTTAAGGTATTGAGGTTCTGAGCCAGATGTCCCTGATGTCTTTAGATAGCATTGGTCAGGTCTGGACTTGAAACTGTAGAAGTGCTTTGATAGGGTCCTACTACCCTTTCTGTGCAGTGGCTGGTTGGGATGGAGGCACCATTAACACAGGCTCCCCTCCTGTCCCAGAACAATTTGGTACCATCAGTAAAACTCGGTTGCCTCATTGCTCACCCCTAGCCTTGTCTTCTTTCTCCTGCCCCTCTTTCAGTTTTGCGCTGTGTCTCTTAGATAGTAGGCCAGGCTTCCTCAACCTCAGCCCTCCAGATGTTTTGAGACTTCAGTTCCCATCATCCCTGACCACTGGTCCTGCTAGCTAGGGATCATGGGAGTTGTAGGCCAAAATCATCTGGAGGACCGAGGTTGAGGAAACCTGTTGTAGGCCTGCTAGTGGAGACGATTATGTCTTCATTTTTTCCACAGCCCTTTCTAAGAGCTGTAAAAATGCATCACTTCATAAAATGATTTCCAGGGCTGAAAAGCCAAATGGACTCCCAAGCTCATGCGAACAGACCCACCCATCATAAAGATCAGCCCTTCCTGTTCCAAGTGGTTCTGTTTGCCTCTTGTTGGCGTCTTCCATTTTGTAGTGCAGTATTTCTGCAGTTAGGGATGCGGGTGGCGCTGTGGGTAAAAGCCTCAGCACCTAGGGCTTGCCGATCAGAAGGTCGGCGGTTCGAATCCCCGCGGCAGGGTGCACTCCCGTTGCTCGGTCCCAGTGCCTGCCAACCTAGCAGTTCGAAAGCACCACCAGGTGCAAGTAGATAAATAGGGACCGCTTACTGGCGGGAAGGTAAACGGCGTTTCCGTGTGCTGCGCTGGCTCGCCAGATGCAGCTTTGTCACACTAGCCACGTGACCCGGAAGTGTCTGCGGACAGCGCTGGCCCCTAGCCTCTTAAGTGAGATGGGCGCACAACCCCAGAGTCTGTCAAGACTGGCCCGTACGGGCAGGGGTACCTTTACCTTTTATTTCTGCAGGTAGTGATTGACATGGTGGGGAAGAAGAGCCTTAAGGCGGATTTTGTTTTATTTTTGGTCTCTCGAGGGTCAGATGCAAATCAGTCTTCCCTTGCGCACATTCTGACAGTGGTGCCATGTGCAGGGTTTAATTTTATCCAGGCCTTGCCTACATCCTGAGGTCCTAATTGATGCTTTGATTGCCCGCCAGCATTAGGGGTGCAGCTGCACAAATCAGCCATCTCTGAGCTTTTCTGGATTCTCCCTAGATATCCGAGTTAGCAGGTCTTTCTGAGATGTTTAAAAATGGGATGGAGGGACAGGGTTTGTCTCTTAATCTGCACAGGCCACTCTCTGAAATAGATGGTGGTACAGGAGCATGCAGCTCATGCATTTGTAACAGTGAACATCATTTCCACTTTCCTATCCGTTATAGAGCCATCAGTTCTAGAGCAACATAGCAAGGAGGCAAGACTTTCCTGCTTGGAGTTTACAGGCTGGATTTGGCAGAGAAGATAGCAGTGGGGACGTAGTTAGACTACGGAACTCACTGCCACAGGAGTCAGCAACAGCCACTAGCTGGGATGCCTTGGAAAGAGGGTTGGACGAATACATAAGGCTATCAGTGGCAACTGGCTGTGACAGCTATGCCATACCTCCACATCTGGAAGCAGTAATGCTTCTGAATGCCAGTTTCTGGAAGCCACGGGAGGAGACAGGGTTTCTCATAGGGCCATCTGATTGGCCACTGTGACAACAGGATGCTGGACTTGGATGGGCCACCAGCCTGATCCAGCAGGCTTCCCTTACTTGGGGTGAACAAATGCAGTGATGACCATTTGAAGGTGCTTAAAACTGGCCCATGTCTTTCAGCGTTAAGGTCTCTGGTAACGAACTAATGTTTTCCCCAACAAGGGGTAGGGATGAGTGTAAGGAACTGCAGCTGCGAGTGAGCATTGGGAGGTTAAGCCAAAATAGGAGCAATGGACTTGTAATCTGGTGAACCGGGTTCGCTTCCCCGCTCCTCCACATGCAGCTGCTGGGTGACCTTGGGCTAGTCATACTTCTCTGAAGTCTTTCAGCCCCACTCACCTCACAGAGTGTTTGTTGTGGGGGAGGAAGGGAAAGGAGAATGTTAGCCGCTTTGAGACTCCTTCGGGTAGTGATAAAGCGGGATATCAAATCCAAACTCTTCTTCCTCTTCTAGGGGAGTGGGTTTTCAGAAGGGCTTGCAAAGGCAATGGCAGAGCAAAGGTTTTTCTTGCTGTTCCAGGCAGAAGAAGACTGGGCGCTGAAGAGAGCAAGGCACTGAAACAGCTGAGCACAATGCCATTTAACACCAAGGGCTTGTTTCTTTGTTTCTCCAGGGGACAATTAGCGTTGGAATAGACGCCACTGACCTCTTTGATCGGTACGATGAGGAGTACGAAGAAGTGCCAGGGAGCAGCTTTCCCCATGTTGAAATTAACAAAATGCACATATCGCAGTCCATTGAGGTAAAGTACGTGTGTGTGTGTGTGTGTGTGTGTGTGAGAGAGAGAGAGAGAGAGAGAGAGAGAGAGAGAGAGAGAGAAATTAAAAAGGGTTTCTCTGTTAATGAGGCACCTCAGCACAGAGCAACGGGAAATGAAATCTGGCTCAGGGATGCAATTATCTGTTTCGAAATGGCACCGGAGGAAGTGGGGAAGGGAAGGTTCACTTGCGGCTGAGCCCATGTGCTGTCAGAGTCTCTCATGCGCTCAAGTGCTGTGCTTGGGCACCCCATTTGTATGCCACACACCTCCCATCTCTGGAAGCAGAGAGTCTTCACAGGCTCTGCGTGTGTTGCTCAAAAGCTGTATCCCAGGCAGAGGGTGTTAGTACTAGTAAAGAGAAGGTATGGTAAAGGACCCCTGGATGGTTAAGTCCAGTCAAAGGTGACTATGGGGTGTGGCGCTTATCTCACATTTCAGGCTGAGGGAGCCAGTGTTTGTCCACAGACAGCTTTCGTGGCCAGCATGACTAAACTGCTTCGGGCGCAACAGAACACCGTGACGGAAACCAGAGCGCATGGAAACGCTGTTTACCTTCCCGCCGCAGCAGTACCTATTTATCTACTTGCATTGGTATTGCTTTTGAACAGCTAGGTTGACAGAAGCTGGGATAGAGCAACAGGAGCTCACCCCATCGCACGGCAAGCCCAAGAGGCTCAGTGGTTTAGACCACAGCGCCACCTGCGTCCCACTGTTAGTAGTAGCGGGGAAACCCAAAGACTCTTCTCTGCTTCTTCTGCACACTTGGTCAGCATCCCCTGCCCACTGTTAGTTGAGCTGCAATATGATGGAGCATTCCAGGACACGCCAAGGACAGCAAGCGGCGGAGGGGCATTCATAAAACTAGTCAACAGCGCAGCTTCTGAGAGGGGTCAAATGCCAGGAGGCTGAGTGTAAAGAGAGCATACAGTGGACTTATTCAGTGGTTTGGTTGAATCATCACACCTCGAGTCTTGGCTAAGTGTGTATCTGCAGCAGATGATTGCCCTCAAATTCACCGGTTAATCTGATTCCACGTCTTGGGCATGTATGTCCACCCCTCCTACATGCAGAGAGCATCCGTGCAGCACACATTCTACCCACGTAGATGAGGCCACACAGTGTTGGGGCATAGAGTGTATTTCTCACTGTGGCCAACCAAATGCTTGCAGGGAACCTGCAAGCAGGAACCAAGCACAAGAACACTCTCCTGTCCTGTGGTTTCTAACAACTGGTATTCAGAAGCATTGCTGCCTCTTAAGTGTGGAGGCGGAGCACAGCTGTCATGGCTTGCCATCAATAGCTTTCTCCTCCATGAACTTGTCTCCTGTGTGCAGAGAGCATCAGTGCACACAGAGTTACGTTACACTCTCCCTGTACCCACTCAGGTGAGGCCACCTGGTGTTAAGTATTCATTTATATGGGAGACTGTAAAGGGGTGCCATCCAGGTGGGTCTGCTTTTGGTGACACCTGCCACTGAGAGTCAGGCCTGCTGTAGATTGTGCAGGACTCCTATGAGCTGCAACAAGACAGCTGCCTTTCTCTTGCAGGCTCCACTGACGGCCACAGACACTGCGATATTGTCGGGAAACCTCTCAACGCAGAACGGGAATGGAGGCGGCTCTGTGAACTTGGCTCTGAGGCGTGTGACGTCTGCCAAAGGCTGGGGAGAGGTAAGAGGATTGGTTTCTCCCAACTTTCACCCTGTTTCTTGCTGTGTTTTGAGCCTTCTGGGCAGCTGCTGCTGCACCTCTTTCTCTGCCTTCCTTGTTGGTGGGAGGTCACTGATTTTCCTGTTTTAGGGCACCCAGAGCTTCCTTTCCCCCACACTTTCTCGAAGTTGAGTGATGTCACTGTGCTGGACTAGGCTACCATGTAGACTTGCATATCTAATTTCCTGCTGTGAGCACTGCTGTGTTCCAGGGGAGGAAGCACCACCTGTCTCCTCTCCCATGGCCATGCACTCCAGTGCCCATCCAGGCATCCAAGTAGCTGCCATAGAGGAATAGTTAAAGGCAGCTTGTACAGGTGAAGGGCTGTGGGCAGCTCATGAGAGTGAGCTCTCTGACCAGCCCCAGAGCTTAACTGAGTCACGCTGATCTCACCTCTGTAGCTGTTGCTTCCTAACTCTTGTCCGTCTTCTTTTTGTGCAGATAGAGTTCGGAGCTGGAGACCTTCAGGGGCCTTTGTTTGGCCTGAAGGTGTTTCGGAATCTTACACAAAGATGGTAAGACTTAGAAAGGGGCGGAGGACACCCTCCCACTCCTAAAAGGAACAGGACTGATTTGTGATGTTATTATTTTTATCTTATTTATATCCCACCCATCTGGCTAGGTTTCCCCAGCCACTTGGGGCAGCTTACAGCTTATATAAAAATACAACCAAACATCAAACCTTAAAAAAACAGAATATGCAACCAATTATTCATCACTATCTCTATGTGTCTCTTGCATCTACAGGCAACCAGACAACATACACAGTGGCACTGATATTAACCACCCACAGTGCCATTCAGAGTCTGAAACCACTAGGAAGCCAGTTTTCCATCTTATGGTTACCTTTCTTTCAGGGCCCTGGTGTCCTCTCAGGAAATACATGGCAGGCTGAAATGTAAATAATGTCACCATGTCAAACTAGGATTCAGAGATGTAGAATCTTTGCTGTACAGTTGGTACCTCGGGAAGAATTAATATTTCTGGTGTCCATTCTTACCTGAAAGTTCTTAACTGAGCACACTTTAGCTAATGGGGTCCCCATGCCGCTCCGCTACTGCGCGATTTTGTTCTCATCCTGAAGCAAAGTTCTTAACCGAGGTCTTTTCTGGTCAGCGAGACTGTACGAACGTCTGTAACCGAAGGTACACTGTATAGTTCTTCCTTATGAAAAGCCAGGAGCCAGGTCGTCTGCATCTCATATAGTGTCTTCGGCTTGCCGCAAAGATGTCTTGAAACAGATAATACCCCTCCCCACCTTCTCACTATATAGAAGAATCTGGCAACTTCTGTTTCAGTGTATCTGAAGAAGTGTGCATGCACACGAAAGCTCATACCAAGAACTAACTTAGTTGGTCTTTAAGGTGCTACTGGAAGGAATTTTTTTGTCCTGGCCTTCCAGTGAGACAGACAGCTGCCTCTCATAGGCCCTACAGTTTGGAAAAGGCAGGAAAGAGGATCAAGTGTCTCCCTCTTCTTTCATTCTCTCTTTCTCAAAAGGACAAGTCAATATTATTAGGGAAACCTCCCCCCCCCCCCCGGCTGCATGAACTCTCCCCAAGCACAAATTGAACTTGGGAGAGACAGCAGGGGTCACCATGTTGCCCCTTGTGTTTCTTGAGCCCCAGCCCCATTTCCCCTGCCAGGTGTAAGGGATCTACTCTGGCAACCCCTGGGAATTAGTGCCAACTACCAAAGTGAGGGATCCCTAAATTTCTCGCCCACGTTTATTCCTCTGTATTTCTGTTCCGGCTGGATTTTCCTTGACCCCTCCAGTTGTCATTTTGTTTGTTAGAGGTGAGAGAGAGGAAAATGCAAAAAGAAGGGAGTGTAGTATGGGAAAGAGAAAAGCTTAAATAGGAAGTTTAAAATATTCAAAGTGGCTTGCAGGTTAGGACTAAACTTGGATCGATGGCTCTGCTCTGCCTCCACGGTTGGAGACGATAAATGCTTCTGAATGCCAGTTGCTGGAAACGGCAGGAGGGGAGAGTGTGCTTGCTCTTGAATCCTGCTTGTCCATCCTCATGAGCCTCTTCTTTACTGGGGTGCAATATCCCTCTGTGGCCAGAAGATGGCCTTTGCTTCTGCCTTAGCTCAGATCTTTCCAAAAGGAAAAGTTGCCACTTTTGACAGCTTCCAGTTCAGTTCCTAGTGGGCAGCAAGGGCAGGCCCAGCTATTGCACTGATCCAAAGCTTCCCAGTGCTGTCATTGATTGGCAGCAGCTGTCTGGGGTCTTTGGCCTGGAGCTGCCAGTGTTATAAGAAAATACCTCTTAATTCCTTTATAGGGTATCTAGAGCCCGTAGAGAGTCCCTCGAGAGATCTCTATCAGTCAGAGAGAAAGCAGTGGCCAACCAGAGTATATTGAAAGCAAAGCTGGCTAGTAAGCCTGATCTTTGTTAAAGGAAATAAACTGTTGCAACAGGGTCCCCACTCACCACATGCAGGAGGGAGGAGAACCCTGAACAATGGTGCGCAAGCCCCTGTAAAAACTTTTGAAAGTCTCTTGAAAGCCCAAGACCACCCTCCTAAACATCATACATACATCACAGAAGGAGGCAGTCTCCAGCAGAAGTGTGAGAGTGTTGCTTCACTCCTGTCTGCCAGGATACCTGATAATGCCTTACTTGATTGCATTTTCTGAGTAGCCTGGCCATTCCTTTGAGATGGTAAATACTTTAGTTCCTTTATCTCTTACAAATATTGAATCCTGAATTTCTTACAAACATAGTTTGCTCAGCCTAACAGATACTTTCCAGACTGTATTTTCAGGGAGGTGTAAGCCCCTACAGTCCAAAGACAATTTGAAAGCTTTCCCCATTTCCTTCCTCCTTGCAGAGAAATATTTGAGGTCAATTTGGGAGAGTCAAAATGGCTTCAGGATTGCTCTCCTGTACTATTTCAGACACGTGGTTTATATACTTAAGTATGCGTGTTTGCCTTGTACATTTATGAACATTTATTCTGTATTTGAGACCTTAGAATTCTTATAACACCAGGGACTGGCCTGCAACACCTGTGCTCTGCCACAGACCAGTGGCCAGCTAATAACTGACTCCACGCATTTCCTAGATCTACAAGTGTCAGCAGACATGATAGTACATGCCTGGGCTAGCAGAAGTAAGGGCATCGCAATAGTGAACTGCAACACGGGGGCCAGTAACTGCCGCTCATTCCTGTTTAATTCCTGGCATCTGTTGTGTGGGCATTCAGCAGGTGGAATGGATAGGGCCCAGTCGCCCTGTGGGTTGACTCTGGCAGAGCCGACCCACACCCTTCAGCTGGCCCCTGTGTCAACTTGTCCTTGGCATAGCATGCAGCTGACTCCATTCTTCAGGCCCAGCACATTTCCTAGAGAGCAGAGGCAGAGAGTGTGCTGTAGGCTGGCATTTTGCCCCTGAAGAGAACAGGGCAGCTTGGTTTGGTGTGGAGGGATCTATGTACACATCAGAGCATGACAGAGCTTTGAGCAGCTTCCAGAATCCCAAGCTGATAATCCTCCTCTTCTCCCTTCCCAACTCCCAAGAGATGTTGCTGGAGGAGGAGGCGTGCATGTCCATCTGTAAGTCGGAGGCTCTAATTGAAGCTGAGATAACTTGTCTGCTGCACACCTCAAGCTCTCCTGGCCTTAAAAAGGGAATGGATGTGGCTGTAGCTAGGGAGCAGGGTGTAGCTGGGGAGAGAGGCACCTCTTGAGCAGCAGTTGCCTAAACAGGAGAGGGAAAACCTTTCGGTTTCACTGGGAGGATTTCCCTTCTAACCCTCTTCCTGCCATCCTCTTGTTCGCAGCTTCGTGACAACAAACTGTGCACTGCAGTTCTCCTCCCGAGGGATCCGCCCGGGCCTTACGACTGTCCTGGCAAGGAACCTGGACAAGAACACTATGGGCTACTTGCAGTGGCGCTGGGGCATTCAGTCGGCAATGAATACGAGCATCGTCCGGGACACCAAAACCAGCCACTTCACTATGGCGTTTCAGGTAGGGCGGCCCTCCTTCCTTTGACTCCAACTGTTCTTTGCAATGACTGTCTGCTCTTTGAGGGTGGGGGAGACCTGTGCTGGCAACTCAGGGAGTCTTTTGAGTTGAAGTGGAGCCACTTGAATTGATAAGTCGCCTCTTTGGATCTGCTGGCTGGAGTGTGACTCTGGGGGTTAAGAGGAGGATGAGGCTTCATCCACTCCCGAGGAATGTGTGGGCCACCCAACTGTTTATACCTGAGCCACGCTCCACAGCGTGGTCTCTGAACATGGCCATGTATAGCTATTGTGAACAACCCTACCCTACTGCATGAAATGGACCAGTCTGCCTATAAAGTTACCTAAACCACGACTGCGTCTCTTGACAGTGAGTTGCATGAATGAATTAGGCATAGTATGGAGAAGTGACTCCCTTTCGTCCGCCTGGGATCTACTGCCAGTAGGCAAGGGACAGGAAGTGTGTTGGCATATGTGGGTGAAAGCGAGGGAGACAGAGCAAAGGAAGGAAGGAAGAGGGTTGACTGACCTTCCCGTTTCTCTCATGCCACAGCTGGGCATCCCTCACTCCTTCATGATGGTCAGTTACCAGCACAAGTTTCAGGACGAGGATCAGACGCGAGTGAAAGGATCTCTCAAGTAAGTCCCAGCCCAGAGGGTTGCCCCTGGCAGGTATAACTAGCAGGCAGGAGGCAGCTTTTGGCAAAGGGGTTTGTGCAAGGGAGTCAGCCTCTTGCAACGGTTGCTTTAAGGATGCATGGGCAAGTGGTTGGCATCCTTCTGCAGCTGCAGTGTACACCATCTGGAAGCCAGATGTAGCAGGCATGCCAGGTGCTGCCTCAGTGCCTCTTCCTTTCTGGAGGGGAAGGGAGACCCATCAGGCAAGGGGGTGAATTGGCGAGGTATGCAGAAGATGAGACCCAGTGATCCTGAGAGGCAGAGCCTGTCCCTCTGCTTACTGTTCCCAAATGCTTTTGTTTCAGAGCTGGTTTCTTTGGGACCATCGTGGAATATGGGGCGGAGCGGAAAATCTCCCGGCACAGCGTCCTTGGAGCCACCGTCAGTGTGGGTGTACCCCAGGGAGTCTCTCTGAAAATCAAGTGAGTTGGCAGCCTGAGTTCTGGGGCTGCTTTCCACAGACTGGTGCGCTCTGGCTGCCCTGGACAGCAGCAGTCATCAGCACCAGGTTGGGGAAGGTTGCTCTAGGGAGCGGCTCCTCCCGCCTCTGGTCTTGCATTTTGCTGCTGGTACTTGCCAAGAGACTTCATGGAAAGCCACTGGACTGAGCCGCATGTAAGGGTTGGCATGCCTGGGCCCCCTTGCCAAGTCCCACTTCTTGGCACGATGCCCACTGTGAGCTCCTCAAGCCCCTGGGCCTTGCCCCTCCAAGGGACTAGTAGTTCAGAATGATCACACTATGTTTGTGTGTTGACCTGCACCCAGGCCATAGAGCCAGAGGAGGGCTCTAGGACTTCAAGATTTGCGGAAGTGCCAGGGAAGATCAGTTCTAATGCTTTATTAAAGAAAAGAAATAGACCTACAGCGAGAAGCAGCCTGTCAGTTCCCCTTGCCCTTGCAGATGTGGGATGAACGCTACAGCAAGTAGTCTCCACAGCAAGGAGGTGGCTTGTCCGACGATGGACTGTCTGCACCCAGCCTAAAGCACATGCTTTATACACATTTATACATTTATACACTAAGGCAGTTTACGTCAGCCAGCTGACCAGGGGTACAGGTGGAAGGCACTCAGAACATCCCAGTTCCCACAGGTAGGGGTACCATGAAAGCTAGGCCGATTAGGATATCAAAGCAGGCATTTGTAAACATATATGAGCTACAGCTACTTCCAGTGAATTGTAGGGTTATGTTGAGTACTCACATGGTGTCAGCATAGCTTCTGGAGCAAGTTCACCTTCGGGGCAACACAGTATGTCTAACAACCAGATACCTGTTAAAGCTGTGTCTGCTGGAGACACTGATCACAACATGTGCTGCTGTCATTCTGGTTGGCATGTTTCAGTTTTGCCAGCAGAGGGCTCCAGAACACAGCAGAACGGCCTGGGAAAAGCGGGAAGATCAGTGATCGGACTTCAGAGCCTGTCTCTCGCTCTCTTCCCGCCCCCTGCTAAAAGAGCTCAGCAGCCTTGAGTAATGAAACATGGAGGAGGGATTGCCTTAAATTTGTGTGCCTGGGCAGACATGTGTCATCTAGCTGGGCCCCAGCAGGTTTGGGGCCCTCCTCTTACTGCTCTAGAGTTCTGGCTGTGGGCCTCCCACCACTCAAGCCATCCCTTGCCACACCAGGATCACCAAAGTCCCATTGCAACCTGGCAGCAGATGATTGAGCAGGACAAGGAACCAGGGAGTCGAGCACGCTCTCTCTCTCCCTCCCCTGGCCCCTTGCGTATTGACTCCTGCAGGTTCTCTGTGCCTGCCTTGCCAGCTAACTGCTCTTCTTTCCCCCGCATCTCAGGCTGAACCGAGCCAGCCAGACCTACTTCTTCCCCATCCACTTGACGGACCAGCTGCTGCCCAGCGCGGTCTTCTACGCCACGGCGGGGCCCCTCGTCATCTACTTCGCCATGCACAGGCTCATCATCAGGCCTTACCTGAGGGCGCAGAAGGAGAAGTGAGTGCCCCGAAAGCATTCCCAGCATGCACTGGGGAAGGATAGAGGTGGGACTGACCTGCAGGGCACAGCACAGCAAAGGCAGCTGGTGATGGAGGAGAGGGCTGCCCAGTGTGTACATCAGAGGCAGTTCATCCCTGGAAACAAGCTGCCAGGGGTGGGGCAGCAAGCGAGGTTTGTAGCATTACAGGCCTTCTAGCGGTCCTTCTGGAAGTTTCTGGCCGCCCACTGTGGGGGAAGCAGGGGTGGTGGTTTGGCAGAGGGTGGGGGGGAACACCCTCCTGCCCTTTTCCACAGAGGGTGGGGGGATTTTTGGAGCGAGAAGAAGGAACCAGACTCTGGGCTGCAAAGGGAGTATTTCTGTGACTTGCATAGAAAACCGTCCAGAGGATACCTTCCTGCTCTCTCCAATTAACATGAGATGCAATCCATCGTCATTGGGAAGCCCTTCTGCTTTGGGGGCCCTTGATACAGTGGTACCTCTGGTTACATACGCTTCAGGTTACACACTCCGCTAACCCAGAAATAGTGCTTCAGGTTAAGAACTTTGCTTCAGGATAAGAACAGAAATCGGGCTCCGACGGCGCGGCCGCAGCAGAAGGCCCCATTAGCTAAAGTGGTGCTTCAGGTTAAGAACAGTTTCAGGTTAAGAATGGACCTCCGGAACGAATTAAGTACTTAACCCGAAGTACCACTGTACTTGCAAGACCAGCAGAGAAGTAAGCAGCGTTCCTGTCTAGCTCCTGCTCATTTCACTGGCCTTGACTTGCATGAGTCAGGTTGTTCTGTCTCTCTGCCATCCTTAATGCACTAGCTGGCCCAGCCTTCGTGCGGCATGGCTGCTTCTCTCAGGGAATTGGTTGGGGAAAAGTGGGAAGGGAGGCAGGTGCCCAGACTACAATGAAACCCTCTTCCTTCCTCTCCCCTGTCTGAACATTAGAGAATTGGAGAAGCAGCGGGAGAGCTCGGCCAGCGACACTTTCCAGAAGAAACAGGAAGCAGAAGCCGCAGTGAGTCTCAAGTCTTGTTTCCTTCCCTGTTCCTGGATAATTAGGGTTCTCTGCGCACTTCCTCCTTGGAATAATTGATCTGGGCTTCATCTCAAGGGCTTTTCTTCCCTTCAAAAATCACTCTGACAACTGAGAATACAATGTGGGTGGGTGTTTGAGGAGGTCTGGTGAGTTGCTGCTTCCTAACTCACCCTTGTGAGTGTTGCATAGCCCTCTCACAAATTTTCACTGTCGCTCTTGGCTGTCTTCATTTTTGAAAGCGTTGGGTTTATTTTGTTTTTAATCGGGTTTTTATGTAACTGAGTCTGTTTTAATTGCCTCATCGCCTGCCTTTACTGGAGAGAGAGAGAGAGCATGTGTGTGTTTTCAAAAACAGAACACGTGCAAGAGTGTGACTGTAGCCAGTTTTGGGGGCCAGAGCCATGTCTCCCATAGATCATATGCTTTACATGTCCCAGGTTTAGTCCCTGACTTATTTTTATTTGTCATTTGCCTCCTTCACACCTGGTTATGTGCACTTCCAAGTGATGTCTTATGAGATGCACAGTAATGGGCTAGATGTTTTCACCTTGGTTTCATTCAACGTCTAAGGTTCTCACTTATTTCAGATATTTTGACCCTGCCTCTTGATGACAAGCACCCACAAGGCCACTAGTAAATCTAGCCCTTGCTAATGTATTTCTTGTTACAACAAATCTTCATTATCGAGGCTGAAACACACACACACAGAGAGAGAGAGAGAGAGACTTTGCCTGGTCACCTCTGGGCAGTGCCAGCATCCATTCAGGAGTGCAGGGAGAATCGATCTAAGTGCCTCTGGACAGGCTGCAGAGTGCACATCCCTCCTGGCTGAGTTACAGTGACATGCTCCAATCGCATGTGGTAAGGAGGCCTTCCAGATCAGAGGCAGGCGAGAGAACCTGGCACCGCTTTTTGGAGAACACCTCGTCCTGCAACCCTGGAGAAACAAGTGTGACGCAATTCCACACACAAGTGCAGAAATTCACCTCTCTCTGTGAAACATGTTTCTAGTGCTTGCAAAGTTATGCTTGGGAGCATGTAGGAGGCACAACCTCTGCAGTTGCTGAGCAAGCCTTGCTCTTGCTGACATCCTATTCCTCCTCATGCCCCTTGTAGCGTAGTGTGTTGAAGGAGAACACACCCCCAAGCCTTGGCCCTTCCCTCCAGTCTTGTTTTTATGAGGTTCCCAGAGAGGAGTTGGGTCTTGTGCTTGATTGTTCTACTGCTGCAGCTCCCACTTTGCCTGTGAGCAACACATTCTAGGGGCTCCCCTTTCAGGTGTTCTCACACACAAAACCAACCCCAAAATGCCCAATGATCTGCCATCCCTGTTGCTTTCCACGAGTTGGAGGGCAACCTTCTGCAGCCTCCTGTGATGGAAGAGGCAGAGCTTAGACCATTCCTGGCTCACATGTTGGTTTTACACAAGTGCAGTCCCTATAAAGGCCGCCTCCTCCTCCTTTTTCCCTTTAAGAATATTTGCAAACACAATCAATAAGCCTTCTTCTTTTGATGCCAAATCCTGGTCTGTCCCCTCGCTTAGGTGCGGCTGATGCAGGAATCTGTCCGGAGAATTATTGAGGCTGAAGAAGCCAGGATGGGTAAGGAGTGCTGATTTCCCTTTTCTTCCACCCAAGTCTGCCCTGCAGGCATTTGAGGCAGTTGCACACTTCTGTTTGGGTTCGTAAATGCTACTATGTTGCTTACTGCTCTTATGGGGCTTCAGTCATCGAGTTAGAACAGGAAACACTAAGTGGGAAGAGGTTGTGCCCCAGAACGTTTGCTTTAATGATTCTGGAATACCCAGTAGGTTCTAGTTTATCTGCAAGGGCATATCCATCCCATATGGGTGGCGGGTGAGCTGTAGGTCTATGGTGGAGCACCTGCTTTGCATGCAGAAGGTCTCAGGTTCATACTTTAACATCTCTGGGGTAGGGCCAGAAAAAAGACCAACGTCTGAATCCCTGGCGAGCTTATTCCCATTGGCATGGATGAAGTTGAGCTACAGCTTACTCAGTGTAAGGCACCTCCTATTATTGTACTGTGTGAGCTCAGGGTTTGGTCCTAGTTGCAGAAATCAGCAACCCAAGAACCTCAGTAGTTCTTTAAAAAATAAATCAAGGTCCTAGCCTCTAAGGTGGAAGAATATATGGAATCTCAAAAGGGGAGCCTCTATCCCGGTGGAGGGATTTGTGTGCTCATCTGTTTTGATTTTATGTAGTGAGAGGCCTCTCTCTCTCTCTCTCTCTCTCTCTCTCTCTCTCTCTCTCTCCTTGCCTGGAGGGAGGGGGGCGCTCCCCTGTTTCCTGAAAGTGTCCTCTGAGCCAACAGCTTCTTCTCGTTAACAATGCAGGCCTGATAGTGGTGAATGCCTGGTACGGGAAATTCGTCAATGACCAGAGCAGAAGGAACGAGAAGGTGAAGGTCATAGACGTGACTGTGCCCTTGCAGTGCCTGGTGAAAGACTCCAAGCTCATCCTTACAGAAGCATCCAAGGTAAGGAGGAAGCCAGTGTGCAGGGAGGTGGGGAAGCAGATTAGCCCACACAACTCACCTGTTCCATTTCTGAGGACGCCTTGGGGTGGTTGTCAGCCCAAAGCATGCGATCACGAGGTGAGATTTGTAAACCTTTGGTTGGACTTCCAGTAGGGTACAGAAGCCAAGCTTCACAATGGTTCTGTGGTGTGTGTGCGCGCGCATAAGTTCACTAGCCCTTACACACTGTGCATACTTCTGCACAACCACCATCATCTCTTCCTTTCTTTGTAATCACATTTTTAATTGTAATTTTTAACATAAAGGGGTTAAAAACAGCACCAAACACAGCAAATACCAAGTAGAGGAAGAACTGCCAACTAAGCTGCATCAAAAGAATCAACTGAACTCAAGGAATTAGATGATTAGGTGATTAGATGGCGGTAAAATTGATCTATTGTTAAGGTTTCTAGAAGAGATAAACTGGCACCAGACTGCTGCAAAGTTGCCTTCATGTGTTTCTCGCCTTGCCCTCTTGCATTCCTGAGTCAATTTATCATTCAAAGCTGGGGGCCATATCCGAGCGTTAAACTTTTCCATCCAGAGTTTTCCAATGGCAGGAGGTTTCAAGATGAGCCCCAACCAGTCACTTAATGATCAGATCTCTATTACCACCCTTCTCCTTGACTCAGCGTGTGACTGTTCCTCTCTTGCAGGCCGGCCTGCCTGGGTTCTACGACCCTTGTGTCGGGGAAGATAAGAGCCTGAAAGTCCTCTACCAGTTCCGAGGAGTCCTGCATCAAGTGATGTCTGGCGACAACGAGGCCCTTCGGATACCAAAGCAGTGTAAGTAGCAAAGCCCTGGTCTGCTGCTTCCGCTTTCAGCCCCTCTACAGGCCTGGTAAAGGCATCCGTTGCCCTTCCACTGAGGAGCTGCCACATGGGCAGGGGAAGGTTGCATTTGCATGGGCAGGGGAAGGTTGCATTTGCAAGGACTCATGAGGTCAGGGGGATGACGACGACACACACCTCTTCAAATTTCACTCCTGCCTCCTTTGTCTTCATGTTCTTTCAGCCCGCTGACAGAGGCTGTGAGTTTGAGAGGGTTGTGGCCACAGCACACTCTGTTGCATGGAGCCAAGGCATGAATCTCAAGACTTTCCTCCAGCAATTTAAGCATGACTATGAGGACGCACAGAGAACCCCTTAAACCTGACTTCATTGTCAAATGTCCCACCTCTTGTACCTTGGTCTTTGACACTGGAGATATTCCTGGGACTGATTTAACTGTTTTTAAAAACTGAAATTGTTGTAACTCACCATGGGGCCTGCTGGTGGAGGACAAGTAATAGCTTGTGTAACAAATTAAAGTTAATAATAATTTAAAGTTGATAAAATCAACAAAGTAGAGAGGACGCTTCCAATCCCCAAGGCGGCAGAAATATTGCACATCTTCAGGGTGAGGCCTATCCTGAGTGCCCAGAGATGGCCGGCCAACTCCATGCAGTGTGACTCCTGCTGGTTTGAGGAGCAGCTTCTGGCTCCTAAAGGAATGGCAGCATTTCCCTTCCCTGCCCCTCTGGAGGATGCTTCATGCCCCTGTGTACACAGCTGCAGCAGGGCAGGGTAAACCCAGATTTTCAGAACCCCCAACTTTGCAGCTATGATAGCTTAGAGCCATGGCCCACAAAATTGATTTTCGTGTCAGGATTTGGTTTGGGGGCCTCTCTGCCAGTTTCCCCCCAGTTTCCATGCTGCGTAGGGCTGGAGGCAGGCTGCTTCCTGCTCTCCTTTGCCATTTTGCAGGAGGTGGGAGGAGCACAATGTGGGTCTCCTGGGGGTGAACCCACTGTTGCCCACTGCTTATTAAAAAAAAGTGCCTTTACACCTCCCTCAGTGGTGGCTCTTTTGCAAGTTTGCCTTGACCTCAGCCTCAATAAAACAGTCTCACCTCTCCCCTTTTTTTTGCTACCCCCATAGCTCACCGGATTGATGCAGACAGCTAATCTGGTGGGGAAGAGGGCAGGTGCTGAGTTCTGTGCCCAGGAGCCAGTGGATATGGCACCATCTTTCCTCCCTGGATTTGATGACGTCTTCAGACGAGTGGGGATGCGACTTATTTCCTGATCGGCGCGGAAGAAGGTGGTTTGACACCCAACGTAACATTGTGGGACAAAATGAGAGGAATCTGCTCTAACGAGACAGTGGCACCCAGACCCTGCAGCTGGGGGCTGTTGCTTGACTGGCACAGCTGACGATGGCCAGCATTTCCAGCCTGCCCCTGTCAACGCAAGGGGGCGGGCTGCAGACGAGGAGCCCCCCTTTCCCCTGCAGCAACCAGTGTCCTCTTCAGCGGGGGGAGCCTTGGGGCAGGTGGGCAATGGGGGGCGGGGCGGGTGAGGTGTCGATTTTATTCTTGCAGGAAGTGGAGGGGGTGTGGGCTACTTCAGGTGAAGGAGCGGCCTCCTCCTCGCAGACCCTTGCGGCTGTTTGGCAATGCAAAGAACACGGTGCTCATATCCACGTTCCGAAATCAAAATGCACTTTGGGAAATTTGTAAGCCTTTCTTTTAACACGTTTGAATCTTCCTGTCCATCATCATCTATCTTTCTCTCTCTCTAGCAGCTGATATAATATGATACACTAAGAGGAACTGTTTCCCTGTCAGCTTGTCTTTGTTCCAAGCACAGCAAGAAGCAGGCCCAGAAAAGGAGTAAAAGTCGCCATAAGCATTTTAATGTACACAAAAGGCGTCGTGCAGATGGAGGCAGGGTGGGGAGATAGGAGTGGGAGGGCCAAGTGAGTGCCAAATCAGAGGCAATAGCATTCTCAATGGAAGATTGCTCCCACCGCAGACCAGGGGTGCTCTTGTGCTGCAAGAAAACAATGGAGAGGTTGCAGGAGTCCCAATTTTTAGCCCTCTGTCCCTGGTGGCAGTGTAGAGCTCCTTTTACAAACACAAAGAGAGGAGCCTCTCTGTTAGTCCTTGGAACACCTTCCTTGATGACATTTATATAGGATCCCTGGGGGTGTTGAATGCCAAAGCAAGCTTTCCGTCGTAACTGCTGGTTCCTGAAACACACACAGTGTGGTGCATCCCCTGCGCCACTTTATTCGTTTGTATAACTGGGTTCACCCCACTCATTTGGATCCAGATCATATCCGCCCCCAATCTGTCCCCATCTCAGCTCTTACCCTAAGTAAAATGATAACTGATTCCATGAAGCCTGTTACATCCCTCCTGCCCCCTTTACCTCTTGAAATTAGGTGTTGCTGCTCCTCGGTTGTTTTGTTGGACAAATATTTTTCTCTCGCATCTTCCATTGAACCAAGTTCTGGTCTAGTAATATCCATCTCCTTGGTTAACCCTTGGTACCTTCAAGTAAAGATCCTTATTCATGTTGACACCCCTACCCGACTGCCCCATTCATTTTTCCACATGCCAGTTATCCCAACTTCCTTCAGAGCTGATGGAATGAGAAATACACTGTATGGTCATAGTATTTATTCCTGGATCGCAGTGAGTTCTGGTTTCAGAAATCTGTGACCTGGCCTCTTCAGGAACCAGAATCGGGCTAGAATTAACACTGGTAATTAACACTGACAATAACCACTTGAACCTTCTGCTTTTTGAACCCAGCTCAGCCCGAGCACCCCTCCGCTTCAATCCTTCCCCGCTTTCCAAAGCCCCTGCCTCGTGTGACTGGAAATTTTGCAAAGTGCATGAGCCGCTGATGAGGACAGAGCCTCTGGTTTCTCCTGTAACAAATAAGGACAATAAAAGAGACCCATTTTCTCCGGACTGTTGGCTACTTAAAGCAGGGGCACAGAAGCCTCCCAATGGGCAAAGAGGCAAAAGATACAGCCAGACATGCTTACTCTGATCCTTCAGGGAGGCTAAATGTAGTGCCTTCTGGTGACTTATTCGGTCATTCTTTCTTGCAACAGGCTTCGTACAAGTGATCAATCTTCCCTAACCTTTTACTTTCCAGCTGCTGTTAGGTTCTCAGCTCCCATCAGCCAGCATGGCCAGGGGTAAGGGATGATGGGAGTTGGAGTCCAACAGCAGCTAGAGGGCACCATCAGGGTGATGGAGCCATGGTTGGTGTCTGGAAATGTGTGCATTTTTTATTTCCTCTGCTCCTTCCGCTCCCATAGACTAGAGGGGAAGTGGCTGTAAGAGCCACCCAGGTGCTTGATGCTCTTCTCATTCGTGTTCCAGGTGCTCATAGCTCTTAGCTGGCATACCAGTGCTCTCCCCCTCTTTAATTCAGCTGAATTTGGTGACAAGCTTAACTTAATAGCTATTGGCATTCATGGTCATGCCCATAAATTGAGCCTGTTACCTAAGGGAATCCTTTAGTCATGTGCCCCCATCCCATCAGCCTCAAGAAAGATGGCAGCTGTGGGGGATGTTGCCCTCTGGTTGGGGATGAACCCTCTCTTACCTAACTGCGATGGGTCTCTGCCCGCCCCGCCCCCTTACTGCCAATCCCCCTTTTTGGAGGTTTCTGAGCCTGCAAGGTGAGTTCTTACCTCAAGAGTGGCTTCGCTACAAATAATGCTTTTAAGAAACTCAAGATTGGGGACTTTCAGCATTCTGCAGATGCAAAACAGTTTCACTTTGCCCATATTCTCTTAGCTTCTCAACAACCCTCTCTGGTGGGACAATATTATCATACTTTATATGGATGAGAGGGAGTGTGTATTAGGGAAATACCAAAACAATAGGGACTCGTCTCAGGCCACTAGAAGTTCTGAGGCTGAAGTGTGATCTGAGTGAAGACTACCCTCCTCTTCCCCAACAGCTCTGCCTGTAATCACATTAAAATCAAGCAGAAATATTAACAATGTTTGGAATGAAGTGTTGGGGGTGGGGGTGGGACCTGATTCCTACTGGCTGTTCTTGGCACTGACCAAACATACCTCCCTAAACCTACAAAGCTGCATGCTGTCATCGGACAGTTGGTGCACCTTGATCAGCCATGGCTGTGACTTTGGCTGACTGGTCCTTTTGTAACCGGAGATGAAGCCCCAAAGTTGAGGCCTTAAGCGCTAAAATGAGATCCTGGTTGCAGGATTATACCAAGGGGGGCATCTTGTCCAGGAGCCCATTTGCCAACAAGGTGTTCATGATCCCCAGACATTCCTGATCCCCTGCATTCAAAGCTCTCTGCTGGTTTGAGCATTGAAGTGGAAAACTGGGTGGGCTAAACGAATTGAAATTCAATGGTGTTGACACAGAATTGGTCCTCCAGACTCAGAAAACAAGAAGCAACCATGTGCCCAGTTAGAACCTTGGTCCAGCTTGCTCAGTATTGTCTGCACCCAGCCCTACCTGAGATGCCAGGGATTGAACTGAGGACTTTCTACATGCAAAGCAAGCACTCTACCACTGAACTACCACCCGTCCCCAGTAAAGGGAAGTGCATTTTTCGCATTTATTACACAAGTCATGCCCAAAGGATGCTATCTATGTTCAAGCTGCCACCACCACCCCATCACCTCCCAGCTCCTTCTCCCAGTGCTTTGCAGTGATTTTGCCTCCACTCTTACTGAGCAGCGAAACGGGTCGCCCGTGCACCATTTAAAGATTTTACTTCTTTTCTAGAAAGGCAGACAAGGAGCCTCATCCGATAATACAAATAATTTTAATAAAAAAAAATAAAGCTCTCAAACTGAGATTGCACAAAGATGAACTCACAGACATGCAAGATGTTTATTCTTCTCCTGAAAAATCCAATTAACTGGGCTTGCCAGACACCACCTGATTGCAGAATGGTTAAAACTGGGTCTTAGAGCTCAATGCCAAAATACAAGTCAAAACTCTTGCTCAACAGGAAACTTCTTCCTCGGCTGTTTTCTCCACCACAAGATGTCCTACACTGATTTGTCTCGCTCTGCAAACTTTTTTTTTTATATAAAAAAACCCCAATATGGTAGCTGAGGCTGCCAAGTGATCACAGCATCAGCCTGGGGCATTCTGTGGAAGAACTGTCTTTGGCAAATGAGGGAGCCTGAGGGAAAGCAGACCCTGCTGTGTAGAGGAATCAAGTTCTTCATACTTGCTTCTGATAAATGGACAAAGTTTTGCAGTCATGGCAGAAGAATGGAGTATGGGAACCCTACCAAACCAATTGGGTAAATGACTTAAGGGGTTTCAATCCCCCATCCATTACCACTTGTAACACAAGTCCACCATATGAGAACCTGGGTCTCGCACATTAGGTGCCCAAAGGAATACTTGTCCATGCTGAGATTTGGGCAAGACGGCTGTCTGTCTTGGTGCACTGCTCACTCCACCGAGCCTGCTGCTCTTCCTTCCCCACAAAAACTACATTTCCTCGCTGTCGACAGCTCGGAGCGATGCAAAGGGAGAATCCACTTGAGGATTCACATCTGTGCAATAAGCCAGTTTGGTCACTGCAAAGGAGGAATCGGCGCTCTGGTGGCAGGAATCCACTGGGCTTGTTAAACCTGAGATCTCTGCGCCCATTTCCCAGCTCGCAAGACTCTTCTGTGCTGAATGCATAGAAGCAACCCCAGGTGCCAAGACTTACCACCCCCATCAGCTCAGAAGAAGCGTTTTTACATGCTTCCCACTTTACAAACTGACATGAAGGAAAGCCCATCCTGGACCTGAGAGAAGGAGGAGCCCATCAGAGTAGGAACTGAGCTCATCCTCCGAAGTGGGGGGGAAATGGCTGCCCTTTCCTCTCCCTGCCTGAACGAGCAGATGGCTTCCTCCACTGAAGGTGGCTTTTAAAGAAGCAGCCATGGGTTGTCTCACTTTGAGGCGACCTCAGATTGGCTCTCCACTGGGTGGGGAAGGCGACCCTTTTTCACACAACCCTTAAGAGAGATCCTGGACCTCCTGCTGCAGCATGGTGGAGGTGCAACAGCTGCTGGCACCTCCAGCTCTCAAACTGCTGCATCCCCTTCCCTGATGGTGAGTCACTCAGCACCCATCAGGCAGTTCATCCTGCCATACTTTCATACCTGGGACAACAGAAAGAAAGGAAAGTGAGGTGCACACCAGGCAGTCCCCCCCACTTCCTCTTATCATCCTAATGATGCCCTTTTTCCTCGACTTCCTTTGGGGCACGGAATCGGGTCCTTCTCCAGTGGCAATTTAGGCCCTTGAGGGTGCTTTGAGACGCTTCCCTTCACCACAGAGAGGATGTTCCCTGCTTGTGGCTGGGTTTGTCCCCCACCAACCAGAGTCTCATGTTTGACATGACAAGTCCGCTTGTGTCAAACGCGTTAGGGGAAAATCCCACCCTGCTAATCCAGGAAGTGTCGGCGAGACCCCATCCGGGAGCGGCTGGAGCGGCGGATGTCGAACTTGGAGTCCCGACACTTCTGGCAGACGTAGATCTCTGGGACGTTGGACTTGCGGATCTTTGCGCAGGAGAGGTGGATCCAGGTGTGGCATTCGTTGCACTCGATCATGGGGCGCCCGGCAAAGGGTTTCATGCAGAAACAGGTCACAAGGTCCCAGGAATCATCATCTGTGCGGCAGGGAGGAAGAGAGAGAGACAAGTTCCAGGTAAGAGACCCTCATCAGATGCATCACCAGTCCTCAAATACAACCTCATTCATCTACCTGGGAAGCCTGTTTGTAGGTGGATGCTCCCTCCAAGGAGCAAGTCTTTATTTGTCAGCCCAACATGCTTGCTGCTGGTGACACAGAAAAGGGCCTGGCTACTCTTTTGTAGTTCTCCAGCTGTTCTGGACTACAACTCCCATCATTCCTTGCTGCTGGCCAGCAATAACTGCAGGGCCCCCACAGGCTCTCCAAGGAGTTCATTTGTTGTGGCAAGAGAATTCATTGCCTTCAACTGGTCACACCACAATAACAATTTCAAAATACTGATTTGGTTTTTTTAATAGCGGTGAGAGTTCTATCAATAGTGGACTGACATTTTAAAATATATATACAGTGGAACCTCGGGTTACATACGCTTCAGGTTACAGATTCCGCTAACCCAGAAATAATACCTCGTGTTAAGAACTTTGCTTCAGGATGAGAACATAAATCGTGGTCCGGCGGCACGGCAGCAGCAGGAGGCCCCATTAGCTAAAGTGGTGCTTCAGCTTAATAACAGTTTCAGATTAAAAACGGACCTCCGGAATGAATTAATTACTTAACCCAAGGTACCACTGTGTGTGTGTGTGTGTGTATTCTTATTTAAAATTATACCCCTGCTTTCCCCCTCCACAAGGGTGTTGCTCTTGTGGTTTTACAAGTGAGCCAGCCATTAAAAACTCAAATGACTGAAGTAGTTAAAAGGCAATATTTGCAATCAGGTCGTGAAACAGGAAGAGAATCAAAAGCTCATTTTAAAAGTTTTCAATTGCTAGGAGAACACAAATAAAGAGGGGAACAGGGCAAAGCGTTCCACGTAAAGGGAGCCACCACCGAGAAAGCTCTCCCATGTGGTGCCACCAGCATTGCAATCTCTAGCCTGGTGCCCTTCAGATGTTTTCTGCAAGTTTTGGCTGGAGCTGTCAGCACATGCCATCCAGCCTTCAAGGCTCCCCTGCTTTTAACCTTCCGCCTGATGCAGACAGACAGTGCTTTGTTTGAGAGCCTCTCTGCTCCATACCTGAATCCACCATGATGTCCTCGTCATCTGCACTGCCGTCCTCGTCGCGGAACACCACCTGCTTCCCCTGCCGGATGATGGTGCGCTTGCCCAGCGTCTGAACCAGGCGCGGAGCCTCTGGTGGGGCCGCTGGCGGGCACGAGGCACTGGAGAGCGAGTCCGAGTCCCATGCCGAGCAGTGGCCCGTGGAGGAGTGGGCATCGCCTTCGGAAGAGGGGCTCGTGGGCACCTGCGCGTAGGACTCCTCCCCTCCCAGCACCTCCCTCCGCTTCAGCTTCCTCTTCCTCCTGAGCCCCATTTTCTTCCTGCCCAGCAGGAAGCCCTGTGGCTTTGCCCACTGGTAGAGGGAGGTGTAAGCTTTCCGATGTGTCAGCTGGCTGAAGCTCTTCTGTGCTTTCCCGGACAAGGAGAGGGCAGAGGGGAGCCTCGCTTCACCCACATCCCCACTGTCGCTGTCGATGGTGCCCCCGGTGCTGTTGGGGGGGCTGGGGGCGCTCCGCACAGAAGGGTCCTGCAGAAAGAGGAATCAGTTTCACAGAGGCTGCATGCCTTCTAAGTGGAAGCTGCAACTGGGCCCAGCACCCAAACAATTGTTTTAAATTGCACCTGTACCATTTCACAAAACTGCAAAGTTGGAAGGGACCCCCCAAGGGCCATCTAGTCCAGCCCCCTGCAATGCAGGAATCTCCACTCTTTTGCCTGCATTTGGAAACTACAGCTGGTCCGTTTGGACATTCAGGGTGGACAGAACAGAAGGGCTGTAGATCAGCCTTTCCCACTTCCCTATCAGTGCAGGTGTAGCCAACATGGGGCTATCCAGGGGTTTCGGACCACAACTCCCCTCAGTACAGCTACATGATGGCCCATGGGGGCTGATGGGAATTGTAGTCCAAAATGCCTGGAGGGCACCAGGTTGGCAAAGGCTGCCAATCTGCATAACAACAAAAAAGCACCTCCTGACATTTCATCCCACAAACGCATCTTAATCCCCAGGCAGCATTTCAAAGGCATTTTGCGCGCGCGCGCGCACGCACGCACACAATTAGCTTTCCCTAGCTCACTGCTTCCTCCCCCGATCGTCGCCCTCCGGAGACGATTCTCCCCTCCCCTCCCCCCAATGAACCGGAGTCTGCCAGGGCCCCGAAACCCAGAAAGCCTTTGGGGGAGAGAACACTCACTCTTGCACAGCAGCGTAGCCGCATCTTGGGAAGCAGAGCCCGCCCCTCCCCCCCCCCCGCCCCGATTATCCAGCTGCACCGAAGGCAGCCTCCACCTCGCACTCCGACGTCCATACCTCTTGCGGGTAGGGGATGTACCCCGCGTAGGCCAAGACGAATGTGCAAAACTTGTTGAAGTCCTCCACCGTGCGGCATCGTTTGGACCCGGGAGAAAAAACCTGCAAGGAGGGAGGAAGAGGCGGGCGTAACCACTAGGGGCGTCAGCCATGGACTCGAAGAGGGCAGGGCCAGCGAGGTGCCACTCGGAGAGCGAAAAAGCGGGGGGGGGCGTTGAGAAAAACTTTGCTAAAGGGAGGGGTCACTGGTTGAGGAGCTGCAGGGGAGGGGACCCCCACTTTTGCAAGCACCCCTTTAAAGCGCCGCGCCACATTGCAGACTTTTGCCCATTCCCCACCCCCTGCCATCACAATAAGTGGGCAATGCCCGGTGGAGGGGGGGCGGGGAGGTTTCTTCTGGAGGGGAGCCTGCTTCTTTGTTGGGATTAGGAGTGAGGGTCAGGCATGGGGGGGGGGGGCAACCGGCTGCCCAGCAAGCCGGATCCCAACCGGCCCTGGGCGGCGGGGGCAATCACACCCCAGGGTGCTGGTGAAGGACCAGAGAAGGATCGCACCCTTAAAAGAAGGAAGGGGAGAACAGTGGCGAGGAAGGCTTGAAAAGGTGTGCTGGATGAGGGGGGGTGAGATTTAAATGGAGAAAAAAGAAGCTCCGGACACCCCCTCAACTCTGCCACACCTTCCCCCTCTCCCACCCACGTACATCCAACCTCAAGCGAGACACCCAGTTCTGCGCGGAGGGGGGGCGGTGGATGGGGGTGTCCTGAACTGGGGCTGGGGGCGGGTAGAAGGCTTGGAGAAGGATGAAGAGAAAGCGGGGGGGACGAAACTGAGATAGGGGGGAGACAGGAGAAAGTGGGGCTTCTGGGGGGGTATATATGCGGTAGGGGGGGGTTGGGAGGGGGCGGGACTCCTTGTACCCCATCACTGGGGGGAGGGCAAGGGGGCTCTTCTCACCTCGGGGGTGGCGGGGAAGCGCAGGAGTCCGAATCCATGGCTGGCAGGCTGGGTGGGATCAGAGGACCGAGCGAGGAGGAGGAGGAGGAGGCGGCGGCAAGCCAACAGCGGCGGCGGCGCCTCCCGGGACCGGCAACGGGGGAGGGAGCCGAAGCCCCGCCCCGCCCGCCCCAGTGGGGAGGAGCCTCCTTGTCTGGCGGTAGCACTGCGCCTGCGCCGCTCGCATGGCAAGCCGGGAATCGTAGTCCTTGCGCTCCACCGAGAGATCACCCAGTGGAGAGCAAGGAGGCGGAGAAGAAGGGAGAGGACGGGCAGACGCGCGTCAGTCCCTTGGCTCGCTTCTGCTTTGTGACACTCACCCGGAAGCTTGGCACCTTTTAAGGGATCCTGGTGGGCAATTTCCCAGTCGGGGTTTGGGAGGCACTGGAAGTTCGCAGGAAGTCTTGCAAGGTTTTTGTTTTGTACACTTGAGGTCGCAATTCATTACGTTTCAGGACACTCCGCAATAACTGGAAGCCCTTTCAGAAGCCCTGTAATTCTTTTGTGTGCGTGTGTCTATAAACTTTTAAAAATACGATTTGCAAATGCAACAAACAAAACATCAAACTAAATAATAAAAACAGTCATAAAAACAAAAGGGGTAAAAGTGCAAAGTAAAATTTAAAAAACCGAATAGCGTAAAATATGTTCCATGATAGGATGCATGGTTCATACAGTATTTATACCAAAACGTATCAGCTGTTCATAGATGTTGCTGGATAAAATCATATTTAGTATGAATATACCAACCATGCGGTGGCGCTGTGGGTAAAAGCCTCAGCGCCTAGGGCTTGCCGATCGAAAGGTCGGCGGTTTGAATCCCCGCGGCGGGGTGCGCTCCTGTTGCTCGGTCCCAGCGCCTGCCAACCTAGCAGTTCGAAAGCACCCCCGGGTGCAAGTAGATACAATAGGGACCGCTTACTAGCGGGAAGGTAAACGGCGTTCCGTGTGCTGCGCTGGCTCGCCAGATGCAGCTTTGTCACGCTGGGCCACGTGACCCGGAAGTGTCTTCGGACAGCGCTGGGCCCCGGCCTCTTGAGTGAGATGGGCGCACAACCCCAGAGTCTGTCAAGACTGGCCCGTACGGGCAGGGGTACCTTTACCTTTACCTTTTTACCAACCATGAGATTGTTTGGTCATAAAAATCACAGAACAGTTCCCAGACTGATGCAAAGCCTGAGCGGGTTGCATAGCCTCTGGTGGCACACAAGGTGGTTCAGTTTTTCAGAAGCAGCAATAAGCATGCCTTTTTAAAAACACGAATCCAAAGAATAACAAGATGGGTCCTTCCATCCTTGAGAGATCAGTAGAGGAAACCAGCAGATATAGAGTTAATTGAACCGTATGCTTTTATGGGTTTTTGATGGCGTCAATGCAGGTCATCTGCCAACAAGTGACTCCTGATTGTTACATTAATGGGACGCAGCAGCAGTGCCAGGGATTGTCTTAAAGGCCCTGGCAGTGTGGCCAAGCACCTTCCCTTTGTTAAGGAGATTCCTCTCAATCCCTGGACCACTGGATTTAATTCCCCCCTCCCCTCTCCCAGTGGGAGACTACAGATCCAGGGTCTGCTATGTTAATGCCAGCCATTGGGGAATCTGTAAATAAATGCAGATATTGCAAAAAGTGGCCTCTGCCTACCCATGGGTCTTCTCTGAGTGTGAGTGACATTGGATACTGCCCAATTAAAAAATAAAACAAATATTTTAGAATAAGTTAATTTAGAATATGCTGGAAATAATAAAAATAAATAAAATTAAAATAAATTTAAGGAACCACGGAAAGAGGAGGTTTGAAATGTTACAACTATTGTTAAACTATTGAAGTGTATATAAATGAAAACTATAAATAAAATTATTTAAAAAACCAAATACTGTATTTCTTTTTGGTGTGAGGGGTGGGGAGGGAAATACTGGTAGTACTAAAAGCACAGCAAATGGAAACTGCCCAGCTGAGGAAAGCAAACGTCTCTGCTGCAAAGTTTTTCTGGGATGTTTACAGCCACGGGATCTGGCCTGGTGTGCTTTATATAAGCAGCTGACATGGTTATGTGCTGATCAGCAGTTGCAGATCCGAGAGAAGCAGTGTCCTTGCAACAGAGGAGGCCTTTGTGAGAGAAAACACTCAGGCTATGACTGGAGAGCTTCAGCACAACATTCTTGCAGTGCACTGCTCGGATGCTGAGGCCCCAACTCGAACCAGGCATCTTTGGAAGCGCCATGGCAAAGGTGTGCCCTGCTTAGGACCAAGAGGTCACCAAGTTTGTGCAACTGAAATAATAAGTCATGTTTTGCCATTTACCCTACTGCAATCTTCTCACTTGCTGGGGTGAATTTTAGATTGTAACCCCATATTTGGTGCTGGGAAGAAAAGGTACCAGATCTTAATAAAGCAGTGTTGTTGCAGTGGGTGGGGGTATTGGGAAAACCCATTAACAATTTGTGTTTGTTTTTAGTTCTGAGGAGAGGGGTTTCGCAGCCTCTGTAAGTGTGCAAGTGTCCTAGTTTGTCAAATAATAATGGATGCATGCATGCATGTGAACAGGAGTTGTTTATCCCCCTTTCTTTTGGCACTATAAAGAAGTGCTTGACTGCTTAAGTTGTTGCTTTTTGGAGAGGGCCCACCTGCGTGCACCTAGAATGAGATGCACTTGAGTTATTGCACCACCAGACTATGGAGCTGTGGAGTCCTAAGCTTAGGAACCAGATCCACTAATTCCCCATGATGGGGGATATCCAGCTAACTCACTCTCTGGGTATGACTTACTTGGCGTCACCCACTATATTTAGAACAGGGGTGTTAGTGACTAATTCTTTATTGCATCATAATCTTCTGCATGCATCAGAATGTGAAAGAGTGGTGAAACGGGCCGTTTCCTAGGAAAGTCCACGAGGCCTTGCCTCACGTTTATTTGGGAGTCCGCCTCACTGAGTTCAAAGGGAGTTACTCCCAAAACAAGACTGGCCCAACCCCTGCTCACTCAGTGGCTTGTTTCTTTAGAACAGGGGTAGGCAACTTAAGGCCCAGGTGCCGGATCTGGCCCAATCGCCTTCTCAGTCTGGCCCGTGGATTATCCGGAAGTCAGCGTGTTTTTACATGAGTAGAATGTGTCCTTTTATTTAAAATGCATCTATTTGTAGGGCATAGGAATTCGTTCATTCCCCCCCAAAAAATATAGTCTGGCCCACCACACAGTCTGAGGGATGGTGGACTGGCACACGGCTGAAAAAGGTTGCTGACCTCTGCTTTAGAACGTTAATAAGCAACTTTGTACTCGGAAAAATCTCAAAGGAGCATACAAGAATATATTAAAAATCTACAATATATAAAATAAAGACAGTAAAATAAATTCCCAACAGAATTAAATGTCAGGAGGGAACTGTAACTGTTACCACAGAGCCTGACCTTATGCACGTTCCCTAGGGAGTGAGTTGTGCAGACTGTGAACATAATATTAAATGAGCCAGCTGGATGAGGCCAGTGGTCCATCTAGTCCAGGATTCTGTTCTGGCAGGGGCCACCAAGATGCCACCTTCTTGGAAACCCCAGCATAAAGTCACTTTCCCTTCCTGCGGTTTCCAGCAAGAAGCATTCAGAAACATTACAGCCTTAGGAGTATTAGAGCCATCGTGACTAGTAGCCACGCAGCGGGTAGCTATGATGTCCCGAGCAGCTATGCAAGGAGGGCTGTCGCCAGGCACATCCCGCTAGCTTTTCCCTTGGGCCTTCTTCCTGCGCACCCACGAGCCTTTCAGAGTTAGCGAAGGTTCAGGTGGAGGCTGAAAGGCGCCGCCACTGCCTTGGGAAGGCTCCAAGCAATTTGCCTTTTACGTGCAGCCGAAAGTCTGTGGCCTTTCGCTTGGAGCTAGCGGACTCTCCCTCTCCAGAGCCCAGGCTGGCCCTTTTCCCGGGGCTGAAGCGAGAGAGGCACCCCCCTCGCCGGCTCCCCTTGGAGGCAGGAGCCTGGCGTTCTCCAAAGCTGCTTGGCGACTGAGAGCGGCGCCCCTCGCAGCCAGCCAGCCAGCCAGGCGCGCCGTCGTCGCCCTTCGGAGGAGGCGGAGCGCGCGCGGGGCCGGCGCCAGCCCAGGCGAGGGAGGAGCCGGCCGAGGGGTGCGCGGAGGCGTCGGGCAGCAGTCAGACTCAGCGGCGGGCGAGAATGGAGCCGACGACGGGCGAAGAGGCGACAGCGGAGGAGGCGGCGCACGCGTCGGCGCTGCTCCGGGCCCTGTGCGCGCTACGGGCGGAGCGGGCGCTGCTGGACGTGACGCTGCTGGCGGGCGGCGGGGAGTTCGGCGCCCACCGGGCAGTGCTGGCGGCGGCCTCGGGCTACTTCCGCGCCATGTTCGGCGGCGGGCTGCGGGAGGCGCGCGCGGCGCGGGTGCGGCTGCACGGCGTGGAGCCCGAGTGCCTGGCCCTGCTGCTCGACTTCGCCTACACGGGCCGAGTGGCGTCTCCCGGCGGGCCGGAGTTGGCCGAGCGCCTGCTGCGCGCCGCCGACCTGCTCCAGTTCCCGGCCGTCAAGGCGGCGTGCGGGGCCTGGCTAGCGGCGCGCCTGGAGCCGGCCGCCGCCCTGGAGATGCAGGAGTTCGGCGAGGCCTTCGCGTGCGCCCCGCTGGCCGCCGCCGCCCGCCGCTGCGTCCTGCGCCACGCCGCCGAGAGCGAGGGCGAGCTGGCGGCGCAGATGGAGCGCCTCCCGCTGCCGCGGCTGCTCTCGTACCTGCGCGACGACGCGCTCCGCGTGCCCAAGGAGGAGGCGGCCTTCGAGCTGGCGCTGCGCTGGGTGCGCGCCGAGCCGGCAGCCCGCGCTCCGCTCCTGCCCCAGCTGCTGGCGCACGTCCGGCTGCCCTTTGTGCGCCGCTTCGCCCTCCTGGCCCACGTCGAGGGCGAGCCGCTGGTGGCGCGCTCCGAGGCCTGCCTGCGCCTGGTGGCCGAGGCGCGCCTCTTCCAGGCCGGCCGCCTGGACCGCCACGACCGCGCGCCCTGCGCCCGCCTCCGCCCGCGCCCTTCCACCGGCCTGGCCGAGATCCTCGTCCTCCTCGGCGGCTGCGACCGCGACTGCGACGAGCTCGTCACCGTCGACTGCTTCAACCCCCGCACGGGACACTGGCGCTA